GGGGGGGGTCAGCATCGCGGCCCTGCGGGTCGTCCCCCTGCCTCGCTGCCTCCCTCCGAGGACCGAGAGCTGCCGCTCCCGCCTCCTCGCCCGGCCTTGGCAAACGGCAGCTCCCGCATCCCCATCCAGGAGCGGGATGATTTATTCTGATGAATCCCCTAATTATCATGTTTATTACCCTCCTGTCAGGCCCCAAACATCCATTCTCTTAAAGTAACACTTAACAACGCCGGAACCGGGCAAGACGAATCGCGGTCATTAGCCTTTCCACAAACACACGCAATTACCAGTCCCCGTCTCCATCGCTTTCTCTCTTTACTGGTCCCAGCCCCCCCCGGGGTGCACCCACACCGCAGACTCTCCTCGTGATACCCCGTCCCTTCCCTTACCCTCAGGTCGCCGTTGGTGATGTGCGAGGCTGGGAACGAGGCATAAAGCGGCTCTTTCCGGTAGATTTTAATGATACTTCTGTCCTGGATGTCGCTGGAAGGAGAGGCAGAGGCGTGAGCATCCCGGAGAGGCAGCCGCTGAGCCCCCAGCCAGTCCCACCACAGGACTGCACCCACTCCACCCCTCCTCTGCTTTCATCCCACTAATTTCCTTGCTCGTGATGTTCTTAAAGAAAGGGGGGAAAAAAAAAATAAAAATCAATCTGTGGTGGATTTCTGAGCCCCACACCCTCACCGGACATCCTCCAGCTCGTAGAAGACGTTGCGCGACTCGTCCTTGATGAGGATGGCAGTGTTGGGAGACTTCAGCATCCCCATGGTGAGCTTCTGGGGGAACATGTGGACGATGAGGGCGTGCAGGGTGTCCATGCTGCTGATCTCGTGGGTGATGTGGACGCGCCTCGTCTCATCCCCGAACTGCAGGAAAAGGACACCTGGAAGCAGAAGGAGCAGAAAGCGGTGAGATGTGCCCGTACCCCTTCTCCACGCAACGCCGAAGACGTGCCGAGCTCAGCGCTGCAGCTTTGCCCACCCGCTTGGAGGGCTCCGCGCGCCCCCGACCGAGGGCTCGGGGACCTCTGGCCCCCCAACCTCACCCTGGAGCAGCGAGGCCGAAGGCTGCTCATCCCCCTCAGCCACCCCACGCGGCGTTCGGTGCCCCCCGGGGTTATTTGGGCAGACGCAAACCAACCCCACAGCCGGCACACGCCGCAGAGGTGGGCAGAGAGGTTTGGTGGTGGCCGGGCAGGTACGCGCCGCCCGTCCCGGGGGACACCGAGCCCCGAGGGTACCTGGCGACCGCAGCTTCGTCTGGCTGGTGGACCGCGACAAGGGCAAGCTCTGCCGGAACCGATTCATCCTGTTGAAGCCCAAAGGCAGCTCCGCTTCCGACATGGTTTCCAGAGATTCGGCCGAAGCGAAGGAGAGTTTGGCTTGATCGGCCAAGCCGGGCTGGGAGCCCTGGGAGTGCCGGGAGCTCCTCGTCTGGCAGAGGAGAGGGGAGAGGTGAGGGGAGAGCTGCACTGGGTACCGCGGCCCCGTCTGCCATCCCCCCGGAGCCCCGCGCCGGCACGGTGAGGCTGAGCCGCATCCAGGGATGCTCCATCCTGGATCCCCGGTGGAGCCAGCGCACCGACGCGGTCCAGCCGCGGTGCCGGCTCGAGACGTCCTCCATCTCCCACTCTAAACACATACAGCCATTCACGGTCCCCTCGCCTCCTGCGATCGCTCGCTCACGTTCCCCCGCTCGCTGCACGCCGCGTTTCAGAGCCTCCCGGTGCCGTTCCAGGCGCCTTTTGCATTCCCCCACCAGTAACCCACTGGAAATAAAGGCAGCGGTAGGTAGCCGGTGCCAGAGCCAGCGCTGGCGTGCAAGCACAGGAATAACCTTAGCAATTACAGGAGGTTACACATCCATTACGCCAATGAACCAGCTCCCGGGAAACATAAATGCCCGGCTTATTCTGGAAGCAAAGCAGCGGCAAGGTTTATGGCTGCCTGAGCCGGGGGGGGAAAGTAATGGCTTTGGGTTTAGAGCAGTAAAAATTTAATATGCCGGGAGTCCAATTTCACATGGCCGAGCGTATATCCCCCCGCGTAAAAAGTTCAGGATGCAGACACGGGTTTTCTGCACAAACATCTCCAAACGCGTAGTTGGGTCCCCCTCGCCGCAGGTATCCCTCCCCACCCCCCCGGCAGCGGCGCCCATCGATGCCCCGAAATACACGGCCCCATGTTCCGGACACACGTTACACGTCGGCAAATCAACCCGGGAGAACAGACAGCTCCCGGGGTGCGGAAAAAGGCGGCCCGGGAAGGACAACAGTTCTATTTTAACACCGAAAAGAAAAATCAAAAGGAAATGATAACAGCCATCATCATCATTTAAATGAGACATTAATTGGAAGATTTAATTAATCCGGCGGGGCGGGGTTTTCGAGGACTTGAAACGTTCTCGCTGTAGCTAATTGCTGGAAAATTGACTGCTTGGTTTTGTTGTCGCTGTTTTAGCACAAAGCGCGCTGGCAGCGCAGACGCTTCAGGTCTCACATCGAGAAAGGGAAGAGGGGCTGGAGCCAACCTGGACCAGCGCATCCACCGGCCCCATCCACAGGGGGCCACGGGGGACCACGGGGGGCTCCGCAGCCGGTAAGGAAGCTGCGGTGAGCGGGAGGTGATGGACACCCGGTCTCTTCTCCCCCACGTTCACAGCGTGCA